GGTCACCTGCAGAAATGCCGTGGTGTTCAACCCTTTACTTATTTTTCCCCCTCATCACACTAAACCTCTTTTGTCCCGACAGATTCGGAAACCGCCTTTTCACCTGTTCACCTTTTCGTTCTCTTCCTCACGGCACTAACACACTAACACTTTTTGCACAATTCCTTCTTTTCTTTCTTCCTCTTTTTTTTTTGTCTCTCTGCTCCCGCTCTCAGTCTATGGTACTTCACCCGCCGTCTCACCAGAGCTCCCTCCTCGCTATCTTCTTGGTCAGGCTCAAAGACCAAACACCATCACGCATGTTTGCTGGTACCGCAACCAGAACCTGTCTCTTGCAGATTACCTGCGCATGAACCAGGTACTGCAGTTACAGTCCAAAGCGGATTTATACATCTTAATTATTTGATTAAAAATTTTGTTCGAAAAGGGTTCGACAAAGGCGGTTTCACTGTATATATATGTATATGTATATATATGTATATGTATATATGTATATGTATATATATATGTATATATATATGTATAGTGAAACCGCCTATATATACAGTGAACCCTTTTCGAACAAAATTTTTAATCAAATAATATAATAATATATATATATATATACATATATATACATATATATATATATATACATATATACATATATATATACATATATATGTATATATGTGCAGATAAATAGTATATGTTTACATATACTTTATATGTACACATGTATAAGAACACATAGTATATATGTGTACATGTATGTATACATTTATGTATATATGTGTACATATATGTATATATATGTATATATGTGTATGTATTAGTATAGTAAATAGTATAAATATAGTATAAAAAAGATACAAATATGGCACTATGGTGCGTTTCGGTAATCTTAATTCTGACTGTATTCAAACAAGTGGTTGCTGTACAAATAATCCCATACGTAACTGCTTTTTTTGGAGAATTTTCAACACAAACCGAAATTGGATATTCGGTCTATAGTTGCATATGTTTATAGAATCTAGTTTAGGCAAGTAGGACAGAACTAAAAGCCTTCGTCCTTTTAATAAATAACTAATGCCTAACAGTTGTTGCAACAAGCACACACTAATATACAATTACCACTGATTATTTTAGATTCACCTCTGTGTTCTTGTGTGACTCCTCACATTGCAACAGCAGCATCTTTTCTACCCAAGATATTTAATGTAATAATGTAAAATTGCAAAAGAAAAATGTTAGTCAGTTCAAAAGCATCTACCGTATTTTCCGGACTATAAGTCACTTTGGATTATAAGTTGCACCAGCCAAAGGATGCAAAGAAGTGCGACTTAAAAAAGTAGCAGATACTGGTACACAAGCCTAGAGTGCCCTCTAGCGGCTGTCAGTGTGAAAATAACAAACATGTGAAATTATATATTTTAATATATAATTCGCAAAACCAGCCAAAGGATGAAAAAGTGCGACATATAGTCCAAAAAATACGGTAAATATTTTTTTCCACCTGCACACCCACAGTAATTGAACAGAAGGTAGAAGGCCTTTGATGGCACATACATGTGCAGCAACATATATGTAGAACAACTGCTCACACACTGACCATGGACCAGAGAGGTGAATAGGTCATTGACTTACCTATGTGTGTTTCCTGTTCTGCTCTTGTCATTTGCAGAACCAGCTCTCTGGGTACCTCCTGAGGAAGTTCAAGAACAGCAATGGCTGGCAGAAACTCTGGGTCGTCTTCACCAATTTCTGCCTGTTCTTCTACAAGACTCACCAGGTTTGTCAGGAATATGTTGATAATGGCTGCAGAACCTTTGAGGCTACGGAGTAGCCATTACATTTACTGTCTCTAATCTGACAACTTGGTTCATACTGATCACTGGCTGACTAGTCCCACAGTAGTCCCTCGCTATTTCGCGTTTCATCTTTTGCGGATTCGTGACTTGACGCAGGTTTTTGAAACTGTATATATAAAATGTACTGTACCCCGGATTTGGATCTGCAAGAGATGTCATAAGGGATGGGACGACGATATGGTTCGATCGGTCCAATTTCGCAACAAAATCGACGACGTCATGACAAGCCTACAAGCTACTCTTTGACTGGAAAAAGAAGCAGCGGAAGCATCTGCCGATCACAATGTCTTTGCAGCCTCGCAAAAAAGAGCCAGTTCCTGCTACTACTACGGATACACCTTCGGAAATCGTGGAAGAGGTGGCACCAAGAAATGGCACCACCCTCTGAAGAGACGTAAAATCAATCATCGTTTTACTGCGCATCAATATGGTGTCACTACTTCGCGGAAATTCAGTTCTCGCGGCAGGCCTTTCGAACCTATCTACCGCGATAAACTGTATTATGACTAAAATGCAGAGGTCACATTTTGTTGTGAGTGCAGTTGAGCGCTGTGTCACAATGACAAATAATATCATCCGATACCTTCTTTTCTCCTCCAGTATGTGCTGAAGTGACCCGTTTACTGCCTTTTGTTATGACTAAAATGCAGAGGTCACATTTTGTTGTGAGTGCAGTTGAGCGCTGTGTCACAATGACAAATAATATCATCCGATACCTTCTTTTCTCCTCCAGTATGTGCTGAAGTGACCTGTTTACTGCATTTTGTGCCAAGTTAAGTTAAGCAGTTGGGCTTAAGTATCGGAATCGGATGGGCTACCCTGAAATTCGATCAATATCGGATAAGTATCAGATTACACCATCCAGAGGTGGGCGGAGCGTGCAATTCATTACCGTTTAAAGCTATTTTGAGACCTCATAACCATATAATTTTGCATAAAGTAGTTTTTTTTGTACACATTTACTTCTTGTATTTTTCTTCTTGATTCATTTTTAAATCCTCAGGAACTTGATCTGTGACACAGAGTCAGTTCTGAGAATTCGACTCTCATTAAACCCCATACCGTACTTTAGCACTTTTTTTTCCATCCTTTGCCTTGGTGTGCGACTTATACTCAGGTGCGACTTATATATTAAAATATGTAATTTATGTAATTCACACGATTATTAATTTCACACTGAGAGCCACTAGAGGGCACTCTAGACTTGTGTACCAGTATCTGCTATTCCTGTACCACTGAAAATTTACATGTTCGCTATTTTCACACAGACAGCCGCTAGAGAGGCCTGGTGCAACTCGTACTCCGGGGCGACTTGTATTCCAGAAATGAGTGTGTGTAGTTATAGTGATTGAGTAAAAACGTAAGAAATTGAGTACAATTAAGAAAGTTGTTGAGGAGACCAACGTTGCTGAGCAAACATTTGTGGACAAGGCATTCACGTCATATTTTGCTTGTTATTGTTTTTCCAGGATGACTTTCCCCTGGCTAGTCTCCCCCTGCTGGGCTACTCTGTCAGCACACCTGAGGAGCCCGACCGCATTCACAAGGAGTACGTCTTTAAGTTGCAGTTCAAGTCCCACGTGTACTTCTTTCGAGCAGAGAGCGAGTACACCTTTGAAAGGTAACCGCAAGACTTTTTTTTTTTCCACCTTGTCTCATAGAATATATTTCACACACTTGTCACAAGTGTTTTTTTTGACGTCACCTGTCATCACTTCACAGATGGATGGAGGTTATAAAGAGCGCAGCCAGCACCGCCGGCCGGTTCAGCCTTGTTACTCCAAACGGAGGCGCTCTGGAGATGAACGGAAAATGACGGAAGCGCTGTTTCTGTGAAACACGTTACTGGCTGAGGCTGAGCCTCTGTGACATCACAGGAAGTCATTTGAGTCCTTTCATTTTTTCAAATTACCAGCAAAATACAAACAAGTGACGTTAGCTAATAAAGACTGGACGATGCTGCTCTAACTTATACCTTCTTTGCTTTCATGAAGGTCCGTGCGTTTGTTATCTCGATTGAGAGTATATACTGTAACTGATAACTTCGGCTGGACTCGTGCTTATGTAGCTCTATAATACTGCAATAAGTGTTACAAGGGGACCAAACAACACATTCGTTTTTAGGTACTCTTTCGAAGGATTCTGCCAATGTTTTTTTTTTTTTTTAAAATGGTGCGTTTTTTTTTTTTTTTTTTTTAAATGGTGCAGCTTTGTGCTGAAGAAAACTTACTCCAACGGTATGTAGATAAGTAGGGAACCGATCAGTGTGCTACTCTACTCTACTCACAGTAGCGTAGCCGGACGGGTGGGCGTGAGCGTATGTGAGAAGTGAGCAGAAAGTTGATGAAATGTTGTCAAAGAGTGCAAGAGTTGAAGTTGAAGGTATTGTTGAGATTCCTCACAAGTATTTGGGAGTTTAGACTACTCCTGGATCAAACAGACATTTCAGTCTCGGTTTTTAAGTGGGAGTTCAGGTCTATTGACGTGTAACGATATGAGGTACTAGCACTTGATACGCTGTGAACTGTGTAGATCCCCCCCAAGGGTCGTGAAGCAGCCTGTCGCTTGCTGACCAGCATTTACTGTAAGCCCATTAAAATAAAATATGGCTTTGATTCAATGCCGCCACAATACTACCCCTGCAGTATTTAAAGCAAAATAAAATATGGCTTTGATTCAATGCTGCAGTATAACCCCCGCCCCAATACTACCCCTGCAGTATTTAAAGTAAATTTAGAGTCAAAATCTCATTATTTTATCTCAACAACAGGCATGTTAATAAGTCCTGCCGGGGTGTTCGGCTTTTAATAATTGAAGTATGAATTTCGTTCTCTTCTCCCTGGAAGAACAGTCTGAGCAGACCGGCTGTTCTCTGGAGCAAAACCGGAGAAACAGGAAAATGTCACGTCTTTTACAAAGGAATTGTTGTTAAGAATGAGCTTTTGATCACTCCATTCGGTTAAAATAGAGGATAAAAAAAAAAAAGAACGGCCGCAAAAAGTGTCCACGTGCAGAGACAAGTTGAGTAAAAACTATATATAGGGTATTTAAAACAAAAGCTGAAGTCTAAGTGTCACCGAGTGTAAATGGCTTCCACAGACGGCTCTTTTGTGAATTTGTACTTTTGATTAGGTTTTCTCTCCTATTTGATGCTACTTTAACACTGAATACTGTCTTCATTCTGTGGCATTTTGCAAAACAAAAACAAAAACAAAAAAGGAAACATGGTGCTGTGGCATTATAACGCTTCCAGTATGTATTAATGCAATTAATGGCACGTAAGAGCTCCCTTGATTTATTAGACAAGTTAAAACTGATGTTTAGTACATGGGACTGATGACGTGTGTTAGTGTCCTACAGTACATGTGGCCATGGAAGACTGGAATTTTGTGTGCGTGTTTGTGTGTATGCGTGCGTGTTTGTGTGTTTGGTCCAGCCTGTGTTCACCTACAGCCTCTGCAGCGGTGATAAACAGTGGTAACATCTGATGCTCTGTGCGTCTGTCCGAGTGTGTGTTTGTATATGTGGCACAGTTCACATCAGGTTTGTTACTCCTATTTATTGTTTATCGTGTATTTCAGGGCTGTGCTCTTGAAGGCCCTTGTACTGTTATGTTTTATGGCTTAAACAAAAAAACCCCTTTTCAAATAAATGGTCAAGCACATTTGATGACACTTTGTGTTGCGAATTTAAGCAGTTTTATTATATCAATCAGAAGTATGATTAAATGTGTGTATCGGGGGGGGGGTCTTCGACTTACATCGGATTCCATTTTTTACAATGTGACATATTCCATCAAAAGTCCCTCACGTGCCCCCTGGCACCTCACCGCGTCCCCCCTAAAGGGCCTGCCCCACTATTTGAGAAGTACCTTAGTCTGAAATGTATTCATTCCATACATATATTGTTTTAATTGTGGTGCCCAATAAGTAGAATGGGATCTACCAGTAGATCTCAAAGGGAGTGCGGGTAGCTCCTGCAATTACCCATCCATCCATTTTCATCCGCTTATCCGTTACCGGGTCGCGGGGGCAGCGTAAAGGCTAGAATGCTAAAACGCTTTTAGCCTTCTCTAATGCCATCTGTAGGGACAATGTAGGGACATTGCAGGGAAAAGGCACAAGTATAATCACAATACAAACCAATTTTGGACAAGTTTGGTGGGCCGGATTACAAAGCTGAACGGGCCGCATCTGGGCCCCCGGGCCTTAGTTTGCCTGCTTTAGAATAAAAAAATGTCGGCAGGAAGTAAGGTCCACCATAGTCCTGTCAAACCTGAGAAAAATAAAGAGTCATGCTGTTACTAATACATATGCCCTGAACCGTCAAATAAGTGGTTGATTTGTCATTTATTGACAAATGACACTTTATAATCACCCAACAGATGTTTTCTGTTCTGGTAGACGGACATCTGTTCTTAAGTCGAAGACTCCTGTTTAATGTTAACAATTGGAAAAAAAAAAAACGCCATCTGAGGTCATTGTGAAACAATCATCGTGCGGAGGCGTTTTGACAGTGCTATTGAAATCAAAACATGACAGCGGTAATAAGGTCACACACTACCTGCGTCCACACCCTGATCCGCTGATTTCCTTGGAAGAAGTGAAATACTAGGGAAGCACCACCCTTCACAATGTTCAAGCATGCCTGAGGAATGCCCTACTTGGTTTTTGACTGTTGTCGACTGTTAACATGAGGTGAAGCCCAGGTTTATGTCTGATTTTTAAACCTCACTTTGAGGTTAAAAGGGCGGTTACAAAATGGTGGATAGTAGTTTTCCCAAAATGAAGCTATACTCAAGTTTATCATTAGTTGGGTCCAAAAATAGTATCGGAAGTATCAAAGTAACTGCAGCCTCCTACAGCTGTATCTAATGTCTGGGTACTGTAGTTTTTCGATTTTTTTTGCAGTAATTAAACCTGATAAAAAAAACAGCTAATATTAATGTAATAAAAGAAACCTGATACGTGTGTGTGTGTGTGTGTGTGTGTGTAAATTCAAAGGGTAAATCCAGGCAATTCATTGCGTGTGCGTGTTGCGGTGGTGGGCGTTCCCTGTGATGTTGCTCCCGCCCAAAATTTGGACGCCACAATAAGTGTCCTTAGAAGGAATGTCTGTCAGACTGACAGTGAAACAGTGAGCAGGGCTGTTACGGACCAACATGAAAACACACAGGACAGGACAGGACATACCGTCTGCCATTAGAACCGGGGGGAACGCTGAGGCGCAGTGAGAGTTGTTGAAGTTCTGATAACTATGTTTCTTCAGCCTCTGCTTCACAGAACTATGTGCACGTATCCATCCTCGCCTGCGTAAGTGTCTATATTTCCTCCGCCCGTGCCGCCGGTGGAACGCAGCGGTGGTGGTGGTGATATCTTGGAGCCCCGGTCGAGCTGGGAGGCTACTGCGGGCGCTGGAATTGAGCTTTGCGCTCTGCGGCGGATGAGCCCGGCATGGAGATGTTGCGCCGCTCCTCTGTGTTTGCGGCTGAAGTGTTCGACCGCTCGCCCACCGACAAGGAGCTGGTGTCCCAGGCGAAAGCTCTGTGCCGAGACTACATCAACTCAAGGCTGAATCGTGTCGGTATGGGCTGGACTAGCCCTGAACACGGACTAGCTTCATCCTCAGGGACAATGAGAGAGATTTCATCGGTTTTGCTGTGGTTAGGTACGTTATTATGTTTTTTTTTATTTATTTTTTTATGATAAAGCCAAACTGAGAGATAAAAACATAAAAATTAGAAAATAAATCATCAATGGTTATTGATATTTGATAGTATCGAAAAGGGGGAAAGTAGTAGGTCTCAAAGGGCATCTACTCCAGGAACTCCCGCACTCTTTTGGTTTTCAGAGCTGGTATTCAAATGACTTTGGTCATTTGAATACCATTGAATACCACTAAAGTGATCTCCCTACGTTGAAAATGTTATTTGATATTTTCCAATATAAACTGAACATATTTTAGATATTGGCCACTAATGAAATACATATATCTGTATGGAACAATATGATGCAGTTCTTATGGTATATAGTCACCATTACACACTATAGAATTATATTTATATATTATTTTCTCTCGTCTGGTTGTTAAGATGGTGACCTGGAATAGATGACTTGAGAACTTTTCACAGGCTCAACTCAACAGAGTTTTGGTCTTTTTTTTTATCTGTTTTTTTGGGAGTTCCACCTCTCCAGCAGTGGCTATTTAGAGACAGAAAACTACCCTTGATACTTCCACAAAGTACTACTACTTGTACTTGTTTTGTAACTGAACACCATTCGCTGAACTGTTCCTGGATCCTGGTTGTAGTTGTGGTAGTGTAAACACAACTGTTTCTCGCAGTGGCAAATTCTATGTACTATAAAGTGCGTATCCACATTACGCGTGTTCCTGTAAAATAGAGCAGTTACAGTTGGTGAGGTTGGGACTTTAGTTCAAAACCTAATCTGAATACCCTAAAAAGGAGCAAAAATAATGGTAGCGTGGGAAGGGTCCTCCCTGCACTTACCAAAGCTCCAATGTTCCCTGGCCCTTTCCCAGCCTTGATTGTATCATGCGATTTTAATGACATAATTATAGGGAATTCTTACATAAAAACAACAGGACATGTTTTTTCTCTGACACATTTTCCTGCTTGGGGGTTTGGCCAATGTAAAAACAGTGTGAATATCTCGAACTGAAGAGCTGTTGTGGAGTGTCAATCAATGACTTTTGGACCTTGTTCCCTGTTTAATGACTTGTAAAAAGAAAGTATATATATCTCATAAATTCCTTTCAGTGAGTGCGCGTTACGTTCTGTTGCAGAGCTTCGTTTAAAAAAAAAATATATATTTTATGACGTATTTGTGTAGTATGGTAGTATGTACCATACTACGGAGACGTAACTAAATATTGAATCCTGGAAGCCCAAATCCTGCTAATACTTTTATACTTCTATTCTAGTCATGTGAGCCAAATGTTAGTGCATGTGAGGTGGGTGGGTAGCTGACCTGAGGACCAGTCCGTGCACGTGGCTCCTGTGGATGATTTGCAGTTTATATTGTCGATATGACAAAGTGAATTCATACTTATTCAATTGATGAATACGTATGAACCGTTTTTTTTTATTTCAAATGCGACTCGTGCAGGTTCCATTCGAGTTTGAAGTTCAGTACTCAAGTATTATATATATTGATAATTATATTGTTATTTTTGTATTACAAAAATGTTTATATGTTAAATCCGCGCATTTATTTCACGTTCAACAACAAATATGCTGAATTTTTAAATGACCCATCCTCGCTGTAGGAGCTACTGCATTAAAAACCAAAAACGCTTAAACACATCCTCGCTGTAGGAGCTACTGCATTAGAACCAAAAACGCTTAAACAGATTTCATGTACCGATAAAAATGACTGTGGCTGTCATTTCGTGAAAACATATATATATATATATACTGTATATATATACATATATATACATATATACATATATATACATATATACATATATATACATATATATACATATATATACATATATATATATATGTATACATATATATATATATATATATATACCAGAGTTGCAGAAAAACCCCATTACTAATCTATTGTAAAAAGTCATACAGGAAGATTTCCCCCAGACTGTGTGTTATTAATCATATTCCAACATGTGGCCTTCACCTTTAATTTGCAATTTCCTCATACTGCATTGTAGTACATTTCTAACCAGCTTGTTGTGATTTATTTGTATTTTCTTCACCTGTTGTATGTTCTGTTGTCACATACTGGGCTTTTGCACTTCAGAATACTAATTTCTCTTGTATTATTTTGTGCCAAACCTCTCGATATGCTAATGTTAGTAGGCTTAATAATAATAATACGATTTTGCAATGTTGTTTATGTAGCGTCGTTGGATGGGATGCACCGATCAATCGTTTTTCTATACCCAATGTAATGATTTCTCTTTGGGTCCAGGCGATGAGCTGGAATACCTCCGACCCAATGTTTATCGTAACGTAGCGCGGCAGCTAAATATCACTGTTGCCTCGGAGAGTGTGGTCTCTGACGCCTTCCTGGCTGTGGCGGCTGACATTTTCTCTACAGGTGAGTCTTCTTTTGGTACACGTTACATGACACAGGCCAGAATGTATTACAAGCTCAAACTGATACTTGATGGCAAAAGATTTTGTCCATATAGGGAAGTTCACTCATAGGTTACCAGAATTCAAAGAGCTACAGTCAGATGCACTACCGAGGCCTGAAGTTTTTTTTTATTAGTTTTCCCGTTCTCTTCAGTGACTAACCGGATCCCTAAATTACAAGGTATTTCGATCTTGGATTACATGTAAACACATGTTCAGCGAGTCTTACTACTGGTGCTCCAGTCCTAGAAAGGGAACCCATGGAAAAACTCTGAGTCCATATTAGGCCAACATGATTGTAACAGACAGTTTGGAGCCCACCCAAGTGAGTTCACCCATAAATCTCTGCTGGCTTAGTCCCCGGGGAATGTTACAAAACAGTGCTGCGGAGTATAGAGGTAGCAGGATAAATTATTGTTATTCAGCATGAACATTTTTTTTACCGTAATTTCCGGACTATTGAGCGCACCTGAATATAAGCCGCACCCACTAAATTTAAAAAGAAAAAAAATAATTGTACATACATAGGTCGCACTTCTCTATCTAAGTCGCAGGTGTTGCACAGAAATTAGTTTTTATCACTTTTAATTAAATATATGCTTTTTTTCGAACAGTGACGAACGTTAGCTCTTTCGTGTTTGAAATGCACAGGGAAGACTTGATCTGCTCTAGGGCTGAAGCTAACATTAGCTCAGGGGCTAACTCCCTTCACTTTGTGCTTGTCCGCAGCAGAGGTAAACAGAAACAGGGATAAATCAATAATAAGGGTTATTCAATAATAACCCAAATCAACTTACAGTTTATAAAGCAAAAAGACGCATTCGAGGAAGTTGAAAGCAAAATGTGCGTTAAAATGCAATCTTCTGGCGGGGCACCTATCTATCTTTATCTTTAATTTTTTTTACATTTAAAAACATCTCCATACTTCTTGCTACAGCTAACACAGATAAGACAGTCTTTTTTTCTGTATAGTGGCTCCACCATGTAGCCGAAAGCTGTTTTGTAACTGGTGGCCCAAACAGGAGGCTTCTTCCCATCTGCTATATGTATTTACATTATTCTCATCCGTGTTATATATTTACCAGGTGAACAATGATTAAAAAAAAGATTACGTATTCTATTCTGTATTCTAATCAAAAGAAAACGCCACTCCACTATACCCTAAGGCTGGTGTTACTTGTCCCTGGAGCGCGCTACTTTCCATTCCTTAAAATCAACTTCATCTCTTGTTGGGTTCTACATGTATCAGTTGCAGTAAGTAGTAATAAGTAATAATTGCATTGTTTAGCTGTGTAAGTATGACTTTGTTAAATTCATGTTAGTTCATTTTTTGCTGGACCAATAATATATAAGTATATAAGTATAAGTTCATATTAAATAATATTGATCTATCAATGGACCACATATTGACACAGAGAACTGACTCTCACACCCAAAAATAATAATAATGGGAATGTTCATTAGACTAATTATCAGTCTGCATAGGTTTGGTCTGTAGAATAATACTAATGTAGCAAGAGAAAAAAAAAACCCTTAGATGCCAACTTTACAGAGTAAAGCAGTCGTGTCAGTTTGTCTGAGTCACAATGAAAACCAGTGACCTTCTCACTGTGATGAACGGCAGTCGCCACTCATCTACTGTTTGCTCCTCTTAAACATTCGGCCTGTGAAGGAGCCAGTCAAAACTGACTGTGGTAAAATCGGAAGTCCTGAGCAGCAGCAGATTATGACCACAAACTTGTCATGTCAGTTCTGTCGCAGATACTGTCAATTCGGCATACGTCAGACTTTGCAAAGAAACGGGCAGCGAACAAGATCCGGAAGGAAGAGAAAGAAAGACATTTTTGCAAGGAAACTGTGTTAAAGCTTGATTTTTTTTTTTTTTTTTTGTTTCCTGGATGAAGCTGAAGTTTGGTAAATACTAGACGTACCTCAAACACAGTGAAAACGGCCCGAAGCTTTCACTCTAAATTGCGTGGGGATAGAATTACTGAACACAAACACCAAGTTGGAAAAATTATAGGCTTACAAATAAGCTGTGGTCTACGGACCGCTTGGATCTGTTTGATTTTCCTTCCTTCTTTCTTTGGGTTGAATAGGCATTCATGCCTGATTCCCTGGCTGTGGTTTTGTGGTTACTTGATCAGACTTTGAAGTACTTTGGTGAGAGACATTTTTCCGTCCTAAAATCTACCTTTATGCAGCGTCAGGATCGTGGTTAAACACAAGGATTTTGTTTAGTTTGTTTGCAGATGTCTGATTCTGTGCGTGTCATTTTCAGGTATAACATGGGGAAAGGTGGTGTCCTTGTACGCAGTGGCGGGGGCCTTGGCAGTGGATTGTGTTCGCCATGGTCATCCTTCAATCGTCCATACCATTGTGGACTGCATGGGAGAGTTTGTCCGCAAGAGTCTGACCTCCTGGTTAAAAAAAAGAGGCGGCTGGGTGAGAGACCTTTTTTTTTCCCCTCTTGTTTCCTCTGTTTGATTTGTGTGACTGTTTGTTGTGAGTCTTATATGTGGGTTGACAGCAGGGGGGGGAAATAAGTTCCTAACTGACTTTTTTTGCAATTCTGAAATACAATTTAGGTTAGCTGCATCCACATGTTTATGTTTAAATAGTTATTGCTAAATGTAACTGGTAACTTACATTGTATACCTTAAGTATAGCTATGTCCGATATTAACTTTTTGCCCATGTTGTCCAAACGCTTAATTTCCGATCCGATATCAACCGATACCGATATATGAATTTAAGTGTTGCCTGCTCACATAGGTGATGGCTTAAAACAGTGTTTCTCTATTATTTTCTGCCCCCTAGGGGACAGAATTCAAATACTATTGAGCGCCTGGTAATATTTATTTATCTGTACAAACCACATGAACAAAACATGATGAACGATAAACGAGCCTCTAGTCATTAGATGGCAGCATTGTAGCTTGTTTTATTGATTTTATTTTTTTTTTATTTATTTATTTTTTACTGATATTGTTTTGATAATCAGGGGATTGTATGCAGAATGCTGATGCCAGCATTCTGCATAGATGCGTATTTCGAAATACTCGTATGTCGAGACGCTTGTACCTTGTGGTTTCCCTGTATACAATTATAATTGAATTATAATTATATCATATATTTATTATATATTATAAGTTAGTCCTATTATCATCTAGATGTAACAGAACTATAAACATGCGCTTTAATCAAACCATACAAATATGAAAATCAATGGGATTGCCTAAATCACAGTGGTAAACATTTGGTAAGTTGAATGTGCAAATCTTCTGTTCCCTTCCCCGTCACAGATGGATGTCACTAAGTGTGTGGTCAATACTGACCCCAGATTCAGCTCTCACTGGTTGGTGATGGCTGCCTGTACCTTTGGACATTATGTGAAGACCATTGTGTTGTACCTGCTCAGGGAGAAGTGACAGAATTGGACCTAGACTGCACACTACACCACCATCACAAAAGCCTCTGCACTGAAGACTCCACTGCTATGGATAAGGTTTAAACCTGTTTGCACTTCAGGTTTCAGTAGTGACCACATGTATCCTTTAGACAACCCTTGTTTCCTCTATTTATTATTGGAGATTATTCTCTATATTTCAGCACATGCCACATGAATGTACAAATAACACCCATTTCCAATGTTCTTTCCAGTAAGAGCAGACATTTTCGTGGCCTCTCTTTGAGGAGAACATGGTTCGCAAAAGAAACTGATAAAACCTTAAGCTTCTAATTCAGTTGACTTTTCAACTGAACACAAGCCAACATAATGCCACATGTGAAATTGCAGCCTTCTAATTCGTACTTTTCAACTGAACACAAGCCAACATGTGAAATTGCAGCCTTCTAATTCTTACTGTAGATTTTGCATTTTATACAATTCAGGAAATAAATGAACAGCCAGTTGTCAGAAAAAAAACGTTTCTATAACATAGATAAGTGATATAAAAATCACGTGAACCTTCTGTAACGTATAAATCTTAGCTTTGGGGTTTTGAAAAGCAGTTGTATGTACAGTACGTGGTACTAATGTGTAGTGTGATGCATCATTTATCAGGTTGATAAAAACCACATGCAGTATTTCTTGCGTTTTACTGGTAGATGTACAGTAAGTCGTGACAAGTGGACACCTGAACTAGTATTGCACACTGATTTACATGTACTGTGACTGTGTTGTTTGGTTGTACTATTTGAGGCAGGAGTGCATCGCTACAGTATGCTTTCCCGTGAGATTGAGCACTTTGGTAAGAGTTTGTTTGTACAGGTTGTATTTAATAATTATTTTTTCTTTTCACGTTGCATGCATAGACTGCGTAAACAAAACAATGATTAAATCTGTACATATTAGCATAAACGTTTGTACCTTTGTAACAGTCAGGTGTGTGATTTGAGTCAGTGATGGCTGTGGATAATAGACAGTTGGTTGATGCAGTTAGGTTAAAATAGTTAATTACAAATTACACACAGAGAATAAAATTAAAACAATTAAAAACAACATAAAATAACTATTTTTATAATAATAAAAATGTTATTTATTCACCTTTTTTACCTTCCGAACTGACAAATGTATCTCTGCAAACAAAAGTAAATAACGGCAGGCAAATAAGACAACATAAAAGTAACACCTTGTCGGTTAGTAAGAAACTAGTCGAAACTTGTCGACTTGTATTACTTGACCGCGTGAGGGCGCCCCTGAGTCACTGAGCGAGCATACGACACAGCTTATTACAATAGAGGCAAGTAGCGTCGTCTACTATTCACAGATTGCGTTACAAGCGTTACCAACATTTCCAGTCTCGTCTCATTAAATTGACCTATATTTTATAGGTTCACCCGTCTGTAGATATTTAAATTATTGTCTGTCTCTGGTATCGACGTTCGGATAAACTTATTATTATTATTATTATTGTTAATAATAATAATAACTTAAGCGTAAGATAGTTGTTCCACGTATTCATCGTGTCGTAAGAGCCACCGTTTTGATGACGTCACAAATATGTGGAATCCTGGGAAGTGAAGTTGTTATATGGCTGAGTTAACTGAGAGAGGCGTTCATGGTCCTACCAGTCTTGAGTTATTGTGTTTGAAGTTAAACCTAAAACTAAGCCACTTTAGACACTACAATAAAAAAGTAATACAACATAACAGACAGATATGTGTTCATAAGATTAAAATATGTAATTGTAATTAACAAGATTTCTAACCGTTTTTGAAATTAAACTATTTAATAGCACTGACTTACTTGCCCTGTCAATGTAAACAACGTTGAATATAGGGTTGAGTCAACGCAGATGGTCAAGAGGAATAACTCCCCCGAATGTAATTACCACATCTTATTGGATAATGTAGGAAAAAGACCCTCCTCTTTTGTAATTTCTCTGCGACGTCTTGTTCCTATTGGTGAAGTTAGGTCGGCGAGCACAAAACAACAAGCAAGGTAGGGTGAGGACCGTCGTGATGGATGCAGGTAGGCGAGTCATATTAGCTAAAGTATCATTATTGTTTTTCTGTTACTTAACAGTCTTACCCATTCACAAAAAATAATAACGTTGTAGTTTTGTAGCTTGACGTAAATCTTTATGGTTCGTCATGGTGGAGTTTTCTAGTTTTTGATAGCCTCGGTGACGTTAGCCTGCTAAAGCGATGGCTGCAGTTAGCTGTAAGCTAAGGCTATTTACATGTTATTGGTAAACCTGGTGACTTTCTGACGTTGTCAGTAGACAGTATAGATCTGTTGCTTCCCATTATGTTTCCAGGCTAAAATTAATGTGAAAGGGTAAATGTAGTTGGCGTCTGCTCCTCTTGGTTCTACTGTTTTAAGGCTACACGTAATATCTATATCTCTCAAAGAAGATAACTTGAGTGAGATGCCTTGTCACAGTCACATGCATCAAGCTGTGGTAATGTTTTGTTATTGCTGTTAGCTTTTTGGATTCACGCACACAGGTTAAGAGACTTAAAGACAAACGTTGGAAATGTGGTTTGTGCTGACGCTTTACAATGAGGTCACGAGTTCAAAACTTAATTCGACCTGGCACAGACTGAGAGACTCTTCGTGATTCATGAGTTTACATGATTTCCTCATGTTTGTTGGGTGCTCTTCAGCTAACAGCGGTGGTAACCCGGTATATGTTGCCCTGCGAGCGACAGCGTCCTGCCAATTGTCAGTTTATTTGCTCTGTAGCGTTGATCAGAAGAAATAATATTCGGACTCCTATTTGCCAATTGAATACAGCAAAAATCGTAACAGGAATGAAACATCTGAGCCAACAAACCATTAAAGTAGACTGGCTGGCTGGCTGGCTGGCCAAGTACAGCCCAAGTTCACATTCGGGGGCTGTGTTGAATGGTGCGCCGCCACTACCGTTTGTCTTCTTTAGATTTAAAAGTCAATTCTGCATCTATTTACGGTTACGCCACCTATTTTTTTTTTTTTTTTTGCTGGTAAACATTTTCACAGTAATGCGACCTAATCACTTGCAAAACAAGTGAGAAAGAACAACTGTAGGGTAGCGTCCTGTCTGATGAATACAGGGCAAATATGCTGCCACCTTAGTCACCATGCAATACAAGGGGGATTCATTTCCCATGACTCAGCCGTATTTTAAAAAGTACAAAATGGCAGTGCCATGTAATACACAACCATTTTACAGACACACCATTTAACGCCACTACAATTATTATGTAAATAACTTCCAAAAAAACACCAGATACATACCTATATAAATACATGTTTGCCCAAAAAATGATGAGATGTGCTCACTGGAGACCAGGTAAAGTGAGGTGGGTTACTTTAATAATATCTCCCACCTTGCTTTGCTATTCAGTCCACATATTTTATGAACTTGGTGTTTCTAACAAGGAACTCCAATTATTCAGTCCACATATTTTATGAACTTGATTCTACTTGTTTCTAACAAGGAACTCCAAGAAATTATCTACAACCTTTTACACACTGTAACTCCTATTATCCTGTAACGTTGATACAAATCATATTAGATATATTAAATAAAAACAATGAGGTTTGTCTTCTGCATTCAACCCATCCATATACAGAAGCAGTAGGTGACACTTGCTTCACGTGAGGTCAGGGGGATTTTTGGTTATTTGTTCATCACACTATAGTCCTTGTTTTAACCATTTGCCAGTTGCAGCTTGATAATGCCTGCTTAGAAAAAATAATTTTATAGGCAACTGACAAGTTGTAAGTACCTCTCTATCTTACCATCTACGATCAACAAGTCAAACAGATGACTGAATTTGTTTATCTTGGCCACAAGGTTCTTCTTCTATAAATGATGGTATGGATGAGTTTTAGAAATCATAATCATAGACTTAAGTCCTCAAATTATGTGGCACAAGGAACACAACCTGACAAAGATGTTGGTAGTGTTACGTGATCCATTTTGTGACCATATGAGGAGGAGGTATTAAACTGCATAGAGAGAACAGATGTCTCATTGTTCCTATTGAGTACTGTTCACATTTATTGCTTAGAACTTACTATTTCAGACATGTAGTGCTCCCTTTACACATGTAAATAAGAATTTTTCAGCGTTACAGCCAACGTATTGTAAGTCCATATTGTGGAGTTGCAGTTGTCCCCAAGATTTGGCATTTAATGACACTGATTTAAATGTAATAGTGAAATACTTCATAAGTCCACAGATGTATCATATTTGTAAACTTTGTACAGTTGTGTCATCAAAGTGAATCTTTGCTGGCCCAGTGTGAAGTAGTAGTACCAATACGATATGGATAGTTTTTTATGTTGGGTTTTACATAAATATGCAGTGAACTGGGAGGCAATATGCTATATAGCTGAAGAAAAAGAATAGGTTTAAAGAAAAAAAGCGTGATCTGCAAGCTCAAGCAAAACCACAGTAGGGTCACCCAGCAAGAAAATGCATACCCCTGGTTTTAATTTTCTTCTCATTAATAGAAGGCTATTTCAATCAAAATGCAAAGCCACCTTTCTGTATGGAAATGCTACGGTAGATCCTGACCTCTGCTATAGCGCAGCTACATACATTCCACCTCTAGTAGATGAATTTGTTAAACCGCTTTATTCAATTATTGTCCATCCAACTAGTAACAAAAGTTTTATAAAGTTCTTAAAAGAGTTCTTTGATGTGCTCCAAATGAAGGACATCATAGGAAAGTGAGGTCATGGCTTAGTGTAGACGTCAATAAGAGCGTGAGGCACAGTGAACAAAAATGTACAGTAATGTTTGAAATTAGCATGAATGACAACAGTCCTGCTACCCCGTAGTACCACCATACTGACACATAAATCGTTAAAAATGACTCTCACCTGAGCTGAAGGGCAAAGTAATCAGAGTAACTAGCTAACTGGAAACAAGCCGGGCCTGACCTACCCTTGCAGGATTACCTGAATGCATCACGTGCATCATGTTGAAAAACCCAAAGCACCTGATGATGCCAGGACACATCAGTGATGACATGTCCAAGGGCATCAGTCGATGTATTTTCACTGCATGTACTTACTTTAACTACTTTTTAGCCTTTGCAAAAATGTTTTTGTGATACCCTTTGTAAAGATTTTAACATGTGCAAAATTCACATTTTGAGCTCCACTGCAAAAAACATACCTTTTTATTATTTGAAGCAAAAGTAATCTTGTCCCCATTAAAGTGGTACCAATTTGAAACTATACACTATATATATATATACTATATTATATTATTCCAAAGCACTTTGTGTTATTTTCACTTGTTTACTTGCATTGAAATCGAGGCATTAGGTTAAACGCAAGAAGCATGGATTTATAATGTCGGGTATTGTTTATGTTGATGAATTTTTAACCACCTTACTGGAAATGCCTACACTTCTACACAAACAACTAATGGATACTCCATCTTAACTTGATAGCAAATAGCATCAGGTATAACAGCTTGGATCAGGTTACAACTGATCATATTCTGCTGTGGGGGAAAAAAAAACCTAAAGTAATGTGCGAGAATAGCTGGAATGATAAAGATTTCACTTATCCTCAGTACTGTATGGCTTCTCTTTCAGCCACCTTAACATATGACACACTTCGCTTTGGAGAATTTGAAGATTTTCCTGAGACCTCAGAGCCAGTGTGGATCTTAGGCAAAGAATACAATGCACTCACAGGTAAGAAGGAAAAGTTATACATTTTACTTACCTGAAGGTTCAATGGGTTTTTGAACCTTCAGGTGGCTTAACATACAGTACACTTAAAAGGTTGGTCTACATCAGGGGTGTCAAACATACGGCTCATGGGCCAAAATCGGCCCGATGTGGGGTTCAATCTAGCCCAGTAGATGAATTTCGAACGTGAGAAAATGCACGCATACTTCGTGTTCATGATGTTTTGTCAAGTTATATTTCCTCAAATATTAATAATTAATCATAAATGTGTACTTATTTGCATGAAAACAAAAGACAAACAAATGGTCTATTGTTATTCATAGGTAATTATGTTATGATTGTACTGGTCTGGCCCACTTCTACATTTAATCAGGATGAATGTGGCCGCTGAACCAAAATGAGTTTGACACCCCGATCTAGATGATGTTTGCCGAGTTTTTTTTTTTTAGCAAATGGATAACGTCTGTTTACCTGAGTGACTAACTTGTTCGCTATCAATTTAAGTGTGTGCTCGCCTTGAACTGTCCCTTTAAGTACGTCACCGTTATTGTGGTCATACAACATGACAACTCTTCTGTATTGTATCATCGATGTTTGTTCTTTTTGTCCAGAAAAAGATGACATTTTGTCAGATGTCACTTCAAGACTATGGTTCACATACAGAAAAAACTTCCCCCCAATTGGTAATTAGTAGCAACACTGACGCAAACATATTGATTATTTTCACCGGTACTTAACAAAGAGCTGTATGACAGGCTTGTTGATGTGTTACAGGAGGAACGGGACCAACGTCAGACACAGGATGGGGTTGTATGTTACGATGCGGACAGATGATCCTCGGTGAAGCCTTGTTGTGTCGACATTTAGGCAGAGGTATATCCTACAGTGTACAGACGTTAGAATGTAATTACTAACATTTTATTGCTGTTTTCTTATATGTAGAACCCACATTTAAAAATAGTAAAAAAAAGTCTATATCTATTTAAACACAGACGTATACAGTATATACACACACACAAATATATATGTATGTATATGTGTATATGTATGTATGTATATGTATGTATATGTGTATGTATATATATGTATATATGTATATATATGTATATATATGTATGTATACGTATATGTGTATA